TGTGGGGGGTGTGGCCGGCCTGGGTGAGGAGCTGAGGGGCCGTTTAGGGGCAGTTTGCAGGCTGGCCAAGCCCCCTGCTTTGCCCAGAAGGATGTCCGGAAGGTCTCTGGAAGGTCTCCCAGTCTAATTAGCATATTACCCTTTTATTAGTATAGATAATATGTATAAATATTATATGTATGTATAATATTTATATATTTGTTGTTGTGTTGTTTATTTCCATTGGTTCTGTTTCTCTGGAGAACCCTGACTAATACACAATGTGAGTAGGGGTATTCTAGGCAGAAGGAACAGCATGTGAAAAGGTACAGAGGTATAAAGCCACATGGTGGCTTTGGACAACTACAAGTAGTTCAATCAGTCTGTTAATCCTGTTCTGGGGCCCAGTCTTATTGACTGGCCTGATCACTCTATGCCTTGCTCCATAAACTAGATTCTAGGAATCAGATATTTTTATTCTGTTAGATCATCCAAGTGATTTTGAAAGTGCATAAGTGCTTACACTTTTCTAAAATAATGAGTCTCAAAGGGCAGTTGTAAGATTTATCAGTTGGAACAAGCACACATTTTATCTGCCACCTTGGCAGAGGCATGCACAGCTACCACTGTCAGGAAACAAGGTGCACTCTGGACATCATATTCCTTTTTGCCACAATTTTAACGTCAGTAGCCTTTGGGAAAATCTGTACCAGTCATGATTCTCCAAAAAATAAAACCAAGAAGTGTGCAGTTTGAGTCTATAGACAGTCTGTGGGCAGAATTCCTTCTTGCCCTCCATCAAGAGACTCCTGGAAACAGGTGAAATAAGTCATAGTCATATCTTGTCAACTTCCCTGAGCCCTGGAGTCTCTTTAGAGCTATCTGAATTCCATGCTTGTCCCATGAATAAGATTCAAGAAGTTCATAAAACCCATGAAAATGTTTGTAAAATTATGACTGTATGTACAAATATCTGAAGGAAAGGTCCACAGCTTTCATCACTTCTTTGAGAGAGCCACAGCTCACCTCCATCCACAGAGAAGATTAAGAATATGTATATGAATGGGCAAAAGATCTTTTGGATACAAAATGACAGACCACAGCTGTAACCCAGATAGCTTGACATACATGGTTCAGTGACTTTCCAAAAATAATAACTGTAAAATTCATTCCTAAATTGCTACAGCTTCATTCATTTTTGTTGGGTTGTCTCTTCTCAAGTGTTGGCCAAAGGAACACAGTTTATTTCTCCCTGCTAAGGCAGCATCAGGATCAGGACTGGGCATTAGGATACTGAAACTCCACCTGGTCCTGACGCAGGCACTCACCTGCTCTGCAGCTTTGATGACTCCTCCCACTGCTCTGAGCCTCATTACATCCCAAAGGTTAGGTTAGATTGTAGGAAGCGGCTATAGAGGTAAGCCTCAGACTGACCTATTGGCAAAGCCACAACAAGTCCCAGCTTAGAGGGCACAGCCCTCTTAGCATAATTAAGCTTGACCTTATGACACTCCCTAGATCTTATCTGAGTAGCTAATGGGCTGAGGGAGATGCAGCAAGTGCTGCCAAAACAAGTGAAACTCACAAGAACATTGTTTAACTATGGTGACCACTACCTTGTTTACCTCTGGCTATAAAATAAAGGCTCAGCTTGCCTCTGGATCTCTTTCTGTGGCCTCAGCCAGGCACAGGAAGATCCAGACCCAGCTTATTCTCTTTGTCTGTCTTTTCTACATCCTTTGCCACTTCCCACCCCGCTTCCGCCCCCGTCAGGCTCACCGAATCCTTGGCTGTGCTGGCATGGCACATTAGATGATCTCTAAGGTCCTATCAGACTCTCAGGGTATTATCACCAGTGACTCTGAATTACTGTCATCTTCTTGTGGCATTGCTTCAGGCTGCTCTTCAATGCTCTGGACAAGTGACATCTCCTTAGTCCTTCCTTCTACCTGCCCCTCTAATGGAGCAAGAGAGCCATGCAGATTAGCAAAGGCCATGAAATTAGTTTGGCTGGGAAAGAAATGCTACTCTGCAAAAGGAAGAATTTTAATATAATTCAAAATTATGAATCACAGTACCTACACCATGGTTTTTAGGCCATGTATACCCCTTGCCATTAGGGGAGGCATCACTGAGTGATTAGGAATAGAGAAAGACCAGTGACAATTTTACAGTATTCTGGTTATTATTTTAATCGCATATGATTCATTAAGGCCGTTAAAAAGAGTCTTCCACAAGAGGTGAACTGCAATCATTTTTATTATCTATGTCACATTTCATACATTAGCTATATTTCACACATCAGGAAATCAGTTGCTGCAATGAAAGAGACAGTTTGATGCAATAAAAAAAAATATTAGATTGGGAGTTCTGAGACCTGAGTCATGATCCCACTTTATCCATTAACCAGCTACATATATGACTCCAGGTAGGATTACCAGTAAGAATTCACTATCTTTCTGTCCTACTTAATTGAGAATTCCTCAGGGTCAGAGGTCTTATATACTTCATCTTGGTATCCTGGCTTCCAGCACACTATCTATTACATTGCAGGCATTTATTAAATGTGCTGCACAGAGAGGTAGATAGATGGATGAATAAAATCACATTCTCTTCAGGCTTCAAATTTCTTATCTGTAAAATAAGATCTGCCACAGAAGATTGTTTGGACAATCAAATGAGATTGTATACATAAAGCTTTGTCCTGATTTGGTATCAGAACAGACTAGGCAATCTAAGAAAGCCAATCTCTACTAATAGACTAGTGGTTGATAACAGACCATGTGTTGAGGTGTTAATCCTCTCAGATTGTATCAGAATCTTTGAACTTTGATCCAAAAAAAGTAGTTAAGCTTGGATTTTTACACTCTTGGATATTTGTGGACAGATGGCTCCCACTCCCACGGATTACTCCACTAATGAACACCACCCTTGGCCATCCTGTTATCTCCAGATCCTGCACTGTACTTTTATCCAAGTTAATTCTGATGAAAATGACCTTCAAAGACAAATATCCTATATAATAAAACTCTAATATGCAAATCGACCGAACGGCAGAATGACCGCTTGCTATGATGCACACTGACCTTCAGGGGGCAGACACCCAATGCAGGAGCTGCCCCCTGGTGGTCAGTGCACTCCCACAGGGGAGCACTGCTCAACCAGAAGCTGAGCTCACAGCTGGCGAGCACAGTGGCAATGGTGAGAGCCTCTTCCATCTCCATGACAGCCGGGCTAAGGACCGCCCCCGCACCCCTCCCCTCCACCCCAGTGCATGAATGTCGTGCATCAGGACTCTAGTAAGTAAATAAAAGGGAATCAGTGGCATAAGAGCATGGATCAGCATGAAAGGCTTAAAGGCAACATTTTTTTTAATCCTCACCAAAGGATATTTTCCATTGATGAGGGAGAGAGAGAGAGAGAGAGAGAGAGAGAGAAGAGAGAAACATCAATTGGTTGCCTCTCATAATGTGCCCCTACTTGGGATCAAACCTGCAACCTTTGTGGTTGCAGGATGACACTTCAACCAACTGAGCAATCTGGCCAGGGCTTAAAGAGAAGTCTTGATGACAGAAAGACTCCTGAGCAAGATTACTTCAACAGAAAGGGATCTGAGGTCTTCTACAGTGCATATTAATTGGTCTGCCTCTCACTGGCCTACTAATGTCCACATCTTTGAGTCCTCTCAGCAGGGATGGATGAAGTCTCTGCAGAGCCTGCGGCACTCACTAAATTTTCCCTCCCCTGGCTGGGTATGCTAAGGGTTATGGAAGCCACAAGGAACAGCGAGGATCAATGTGTCAGCATGTGCTAACATTGTCCCTACTAGAGATGCCCACATGTCACTAACTGAGAGACCTCTTGTAAGCTTCGACTACAGTAGCTGGCTCTATCTCTTTAAGAGTGACTTCAGGGTGTGACGACCTGCACCCTCTCCATCTTTGTTGGGTTAATTTGCATATTCACCCTGATTGGCTGGTGAGCATAGTGAAGGGATGGTCAATTTACATGTTTCTCTTTTATTATATAGGCTAGGCAGACATGGTGGGTACCAAGGGGTCAGCATGGTGAGATCTCAGGGGATTTGAATCCACTGTCCCATCCTGGCTCAGGGGATTCCTGTAGACAATGGGCCTTGCCAGCTGAAGAGCATCTATAAGTTACAGAAACGACCTCCTAACCAGTTCCCAGCAGTTCTTTAGATGTCTCTGAATGTCCCTCCACATCCCTCCTCTGGGGCATCTTTGAATGTAGAGAATAGTGTTCTGCACCATTCCCACTTCTTTCGGTGCATCATTCGTTTGTATGAAATTTTAACCACCGACTCAATCATTCATTTTTGTCATTCCATTCAAAGCAACAGGATGACAGTGTATCTTTTTTTTATGTATTTTGGAGAATGACAAGTAGTATATTGTAGACCAAAAGATTTAGCTGGAAGTAGCAGGGAGAGGCGGGCCTGAGGAAGGGAAAGTATGTGTCATTTCATTGACTTTGTATAGTAGCCAGTTCAGCATGTGCAAGTTGGAGTGCAAAGTCAGTTTTGAGGGTAAATGTTTTTTGCTAGACCACCTCTGAATCCTTGTAGTGGCCATTTTGACTTCCTCTCAACATCCATTCTAACTCCTCCCCCATTTTTACAGTGTAACACCCAGGGTTTTTGGCTAAATACAACCCACTCCTGGCTGTAAGTGGGCCTTGATTGGAACCATTCGCAATGAATGATCCAGGGCAGGGCAATAAATGGAGATATTAAGTCAATATGCCCATGTCCATTCCTTGGCCATGAGGTGGTGCAAGATCCCAGGTGGTTAAAAAAACAAACAAAACAAAACAGCCCTAGCTGGTTTGGCTCAGTGGATAGAATGTCCACCTGAAAACTGAAGGGTTCGAATTCCGTCAAGGGCACAAGCCCGAGTTGTGGACTCAATCCCCAGTGGGAGATGTGGATGAGGCAGCCAATCAATGATTCTCTCTCATTATTGATGTTTTTTTCCTCTCTGTCCCTCTCCCTTCCTCTCTGAAAATCAATTAAAATAGATTTTAAAAATAAAAATTAAAAACAAAAGGAGATTGTAGGAGTTTCATTCTCCCTGGCCCTGGAGGAAACAGTCGTTCCTGTTGCTACTGGAAGTCATTCATTCATTCTTCTCTCCAACCTAGTCTTATTGATCTATGCACCAAGCACAACTCGGTTCTCAGGGCTAGGAATACCAAATCTTCCATCTCCCAATTTAGTGAAAGGGCAGAAAATAAATAAACATATAAAGACATTGCATACTGTCAAGTGACAAGGGCTAAGAAAAAAAAAAGATAAGAAAACAGAACGTTGTGAGGTGTGGTACTTATTTAAGAAACAGAGTTGCTTGGAGGAGGGTGAGAGTGCCCAGAGCTGAGGACACCTGGGAAGCCTTCCCAAGGAAGGGGACATTTGACAGAGTCAGAGACAAAAGAGAAAAGTGGATTGAATATGCAAGACATTTTGAAAATAAACCTGTTACGTAATGACTGATTAGATTGGGAGTTTAAAAAGAAAGATGAATAAAAGATTATATAAAAGCAATATTTTTTAAACTGCAATATTTCCTTAGTGGGTCATGAAATCAAATTAAATGGGTCATATAATGAGACTTTTTAAAATGGAATCAAATAGATTGCAATAAAATAGATTAAAGAGCATCATACATAGTGAGGGTAAGTACTATTTTATAAAATGTTCCTCAGTTACATGTGTGTATGTGTCTGTATGTGTATGTATACCAGTTGTGATATAAAATCTATTTCTTACCATGGGCCAGAGTTAACATTTTTTAGAAAATATTGACGAGGTTTTAAATCTGCTTCAATGTAAGATTATGGTACCATCGGTTTAAAAAAAATACATTAATAAATGCCCATGATTTTGAAGATGAAGACTTTTTAGTTTGAGTTTAATGTTTTAGCTGAATATCTAAATAGAAAGGAGCAAAGGCAGTTGGAAAAGTGAGCACAGACAAGAAATGTCAAAACTCAAGGTAGGAATTTGGGAGTCACCTGCAGAAAAAAAAAAAAAACTATAGCAATGAATAAGGTTATTAGAAGAGAAAGTATAAGAAACAGGAAAAAAAAGTCAAGGATAAAGCCCAAGGCCATAACATTTGGGGGAAAAGGGTGGGAACAGAAAAACCACAAAAATGTCCAAGAAGGAGCAAGCAAAGTTTCCAGGAAAATCCAGAGATGAAGGAGTAGGAGATCCAATAGAGAACAGAATTTTGATAGTGTCAAATGTTCTAAACAATCAAGGAGGAAGATGTGGATTAAGAAAAAGTCACTGGATGTAGCAACTTTGAGAATATTAATGATTTACAAGGAAACTATTCTTCATGGGGATGAAAATACAAGCCAGGGTGGTTAGAACATAAAGACAGTACACTTTGTAGTGAGGGGAAGCATACAGAATGAAAATATATTCATTGCCTTCAGTTTCTCGCTTCACCAGATGTTTCTAACAAACAATTCTCAGCGTCATTGACACCAACTTTATCTTTTCACTCATCCAGTTCTTAGACCATTTCTTTTATTTTTTATGTTTGCAGTTACAGTTGATGACATTCAGCATTATTTGATATTAGTTTCAGGTGCACAGCATAGTGGTTAGATAATCATATACTTTACCAAGTGTTCCCCCTCATATTTCCAGTACCCAACTGGCACCATACATAGTTATCACATAATATATTACAATATTATTGACTATTTTTCCTATGTGGTACTTTATATCCCATTGACTATTTTGGAATTACCAATCTGTACTTCTTAATCCATTCACCTTTTTCTCCTAGTCCCCCAACACGCCTTCCCTCTGGCAACCATCAGTTTTTTCTCTGTATCTCTGAGTCTGTTTCTGATTTGTTTGTTTATATTATTCCTTACATTCTACATATAAGTGAAATCAAATGGCATTCATCTTTCTCTGACTTATTTCTCTTAGCATAATACCTTCCAGGTCCATCCACGTTGTCACAAATGGTTAGATTTCACTCTTTTTTTTTTTTTTTATAGCTGGGGAATATTCTATTGTATGGATGTACCGCATCTTCTTTATCCACTCTATTGATGGGCACTTGGGGTGCTTCCATGGCCTGGCTATTGTAAATAACACTGCAATGAACATAGGGATGCATATATTCTTTTGAATTAGTGTTTTGGATTTCTTTGGATATATACCCTGAAATGGAATCACTGGTTAGACCATTTCCTGAAGCACCTCAGATTTTTCCTCAAGGTGATGATCATCACCAACACCAAACATGCTTCACAGGCTGAACACAAGTATATCTTAGTCAAGGGATGAGTTTTTTTAATCTTTTCAGTGCTAAGAGACCAATCCTGAGACTGGCAGGGATTCCACTCTGCTGGAAATGCAGGAAGCTTTGGGAGGAGACCATTTGTTTGTTTGTTTGGGAAATTCCTGAATGGGTTTGTGGTTATGCAAATGAAAGACTCCTTGCCCAATCTGGGGGAGAGATTAAGACCATGAAGACTTAAGGCTTCCAAAGAGTACAAGTGAAAGAAGTGTCTGTCTTGAGTGCAGACTGCCGTGCTGTTTACTGCTTTTTGGCTTCCTCAAAACTCAGAGAGTAGGAATTGTGGTCCAGGATGTGGGGCGATGAGAGAGGAATGTGGGAACTAAGGAAGACTGTCATTACAGCAGGATGTGGAGGCCAAGGACGAAGGAGAAAAACAACCGGTTGGGACTCTGCACCACAGAGTGGCCAATGGATTCAGCAGCAGCATCTCATATCCAGTTTCACATTGTTCTTCCCAAAGCTGTAATTTTCCTATAATCTCAAGTCTTCAGGAAAGTTTCTCAACCGTTACAATCTATCACTAAGTAATAACTAATATGTATTGACAATGGGCCAGGTGCTCTTCATATTAGTAACTCATTGACCCTCACAGCAACTCTATGAAGGAACTATTATTTTCGCCCACACCTTACAGAGAAAGACACTGAGGTATAAATAACTTGTTTAAGGCCATGCAACAAGTAAGGGTCAGAGCCTGCACTGGAACTCATGAAGTCTGACTATAGAACTCATGATCTTAACCACAGCTACTCTCTGTATCTTTATGTTCCTGTTAGCTTGGGAAACAAAGGGAGGATCTGTGATGACATTTTGGGGCAGAGTGGACCAGAAGTGTTGGTCACTATCAAGAGGTGAAAATGAGCCCAACAGAGGAAATCTGGGAGAAGCCTGATGCAAGAACTTGGCAATAACATCAGGAGAATATCATCAAGTCCTGGGGACCCCAGAACCCCTTGGGAAGGACCCTGGAGTTCCTTCTGTACATTGGGTCAGGGACTCTCACTGCAGAAATTTGCATGTAAATAGGTGTGTTTCACCTCTGTGAAATGTGGCAGCACACCACTGCCTCACAATGCTTGGATGCCTAGTAATTGGCTGCTGTATGTGTTAAATCTTCCTGCCATCTTCTGATGTGCTTTCTAGCATCCCTTGAAGGACAATCCAGATTTTCACTCCATCGCCATGATTCAGCTCATAGTCACTGTCTGTTTTTGGCAGGTCAGCAAAGTTGACTCCGTGGCACAACTTCCTTTTTTTTTTTTATCAACTTCTAAGGCATATTTACAGCCTCCTAAGATACTTTACATGTTGGAAAATAATTACATTTATCCACAGATAAACAGACCAGAAATGAAGACAACTTTCCCCATGAATAAAATGATCCAAGTGAATATTATTTCCTGATCAAGGTAACCGAAAACAGATGGAGAAATACAAAGATTATATAAGCAGCTAGTAGTCAGTTCAGCAGAGATGAAAGTGTATTTGACTAAAACAAATATTAGTTAGAACAATATGCGGTCACTTTGTGTCTTTGGAGGAGGAATACCAATGAGAAACTTAAGTGTGGAAAGACAAGATAACTGCCTTCCTCCAACTCAAAAAGGAAATAAGCTGCTTATCAGGCATGGTGGGTATATGGTCAGCCTTATTAGCATATCTTAATTGGGAATTAGACTGTCATGGACAGAAAACATTGTAAGTTAAAACGTGGGAGACAAAATAATTCATTTAAATTCCTAATGCACATCTTGTTTCCTACCTATTTCTTGAAGTGTTTACCTTTTCCTGTTCCTCTTTTTCCCCCATTATTCATGTCATCTTTCTTCTATCTACAGCCATACTCTCAAAATTCCTGCTCAGGATACTAATCCCTTCTTTTCCAAAATTCTATTTGTGATATATTTCCACAATTATCAGATGTCATTACTTCATTTATAGCTCTCTGTTTTATATGCTTTTTTATCTCTACCTACTAGTATGCATTCTCATTCATCATTTTCACTCTTCCCCACTTTCTCCTTTCTCACGCCCTCCCTCTCTCTACCTCTCTGCCACTCATTCACACAAGCTCAATCTCACATAAAAATTAACCTATAGTAAAATTTGTCTTTGCTGGTTACAAATTCTGGTTGTGTAGCTTATGCCCAGAGACTTGGGATGGCATAAGATTAGACATATCTCACAGCCTGTTGCTCTAATCTGCAAATGTTTTCTTGACCCTTTCCCACTTCACACCAACTGATGGAATAGCATTATTTGTTATCTCCTTGGAGCAGGGCTCAGAGGAACATTCTGCTGAATATACATTTACCCAAGACGGCATCTGTATTATGCAAGACAGTGTTCACTTTCAGAACACAGGACACAAGCACGTGCATTCAAGGCCTCATCTGTAAGTGTGCTTGCGTTACTCAGCAGCAAGTGCCCTGGTGAGCAACCTTTCCCCTGAACAGTCATGAAAGCTGTTGATCTTGGCTCATAAATGACCTTTGAGAGGGTACCTCTAGTTGTACAGGACTGGTGGTGTACTGGTGGGTGGTATGTTTTAAAGAAACTTTCAAATAAAACAAAGTAACCATACACCAGCCAGCTGGTGTTTATGTCACAGGCCTGATCTGGTTATGAGAAGAATGTGGTGAGCTATGAACTGTTTGCCAAGGAATATACACAACTCTGTTGATGTGGACTTTGGCTTTATTCTCGTGCCTGGCAGTCTAAATTGCAAGGCCATACAAAGTAGCTTAAGTTTGCCAGGAACATGTTATAAATTATATGCTATTTTCTGAGCAGTGGCTGGGACTTCTGGAATAATTCTCTAAAAGTTTGCATAAGCATGAAAGACCTGACCCACAGGAACACTTTCTTTTCATGGTGGGCCTCAAAGTGTCAAGTTCTAGCTAGTCCCCTCAAGAAATGTCTAAACCGTTGTCCGAGGATGACTTTGAAGGTCTGCAACAGATGAATGCCAAATGAAGTTGTCCTGGATAGTCAAGGAGAAGCCCCACTTAATTAGTCTTCAAGATCCAAGATTGGCCTAAAGTTTTCAAAAACCCCAGGGAATGTGGGAACCTGCCCCAAACCCACTAGACTCTAATTAGTCTTAAAATTAGACTCGGTTTACATTGCCATAAACCAGCAGTGGTTCTCAACCTTCCTAATGCTGCAACCCTTTAATACAGTTCCTCATGTTGTGGTGACCCCCAACCATAAAATTATTTTCGTTGCTACTTCATAACTGTAATTTTGCTACTGTTATGAATCGTAATGTAAATATCTGATATGCAGGATGTATTTTCATTGTTGGCGACCCACAGGTTGAGAACCGCTGCGTAGAGCTAAGTAAGCATTTATAGCATATCTTGCTTATTAAACCACACGGTACAAGTGATTGTAAGTAATATGATTGGTCTCTTTTTTTATTAGTAGGACATGCCTGGTGAGAAAATGTATTCTTCCACCCAGAAATAGAGATAGAAACCCAGAGACTGGCTGAGTGGCTCCCACCAGCCTCTCTAGCTGGTTTGTATCTCCCCTTGAGGTTGGGTTATTGGGACTTAGCCTGATTATCATGGTAGCCTTCTGTATAGAACCTGGCAGTAGATATTCCAAACTTAGCCACCTGCCTGCCAGAAGGTTGTTCTCTAAGGCAGGCAAATGTCCTCCCCAAAAGCCAAGAAGAGCAATCAAGGACAATGCACCCTATAATATTGTCTCGGGGTACAGGTCTATGATCCAGAAAGACAGATCCCAAGTATGCAACTTCAAATTTAACTCTTTCTAATACAACTGGCATTTTTCTGGAAAATGTTCAATTTTATAGGACTAACTCAATTAGTTTTCACTAGACACCTAACTTGTTGGTAACATTGACAGTCATATATTTCCAAATTTCAGATGAGGAAACAGAGTGACTCAGGAAGAAGATAAGTTTTTATTTATCTAGTTACTAAAAACAGTAGAGTGACTCAGGAAGAAGATAAGTTTTTATTTACCTAGTTACTAAAGCTCCAGGACTGTGTTGAATCCACTATATATTACTATATAGTCCTTTGTCTTAAAATTATATCATAGTATCAGTCTTGTTCAGTCTTGCTTGTCTCAATTACTTGTAAAATACAGCTACCATGGGATACAAACAAAAGAAATATAAACCTAAATTAAATTTTGGATGGCATAGTGCTTCAGAAATACAACTTCCCATACGCATGTCATCGATAGTCTAATAATGTCAACTTCACACTTTGCCTTTTATCAGAGTACAGAAGACATTTCCTGAGTTCCTTACCTTCTTCCTTTCAATATAAAGAAGGAGATTCAGAAATGACTGTGTGCATCATTTCCCTAAGGAAGGTCAGGCTCACAGAACTGAAGTGGAAACCCAGCTTTCAGTTTAGACTACTTATGCCCAAGGCCATTCCAATTTTAAATATTCTGTCCCAATATTAACATAAGTGGCCTCTTCCCTCTCAGACCAGTCTGACTAGGCTCCAGAAACACGGACTCCAGCCTCAGCATTGATATTCATTTACCCATTCAGGTTATGAACCTACTATGTATTAAATAGATCAGATACCACCCCTGCCCTAAAGAAACTTACAAACCTGGCAAAGGCAAGTCTGTAGAAAATCAAACCAATTATAAGATGTAGTCTAATTGTCATGGTGGCAACATGAACAATGGTCAGGCAGTTCGTGGAAGTCAGAATCTTTGAACTGGGTTTAATCACCCTGGGATTAAATGGGCAAAGGAAAGTAGAGGGATAGCAAATCAGATAGAGGAAACAGCATGAAGGTCGACACAGCTTTGATGAAGTAGAGGCATAGCTTTGAGACATGGTCAAGGTGCCGGGCACATAAGCATATGAGGGTCGGGGAGGCAGGGAAGAGTAGAACAGACTGAAACTGCAAAGGCAGATTAAACCCGGACTCTGAAATGCCTTGGATACCAGGCTGAGGAGATGGGACTTTGTTCTTCATTTAATTTGAAATCATTGAATATTTTTTGAGCAGATTAATGACCTGAGAAAACATGAACTTTAGGAAAATGATGCTTTACTTGAAGGTGGGATATGTGTGGAAAGAAAATCAATTGGAAGCTGATTTTTCTGATGAAAGGAGGCAATAATCTGTGTGAGTAGCTAGATCGCAAACTGAGACCAAGCGATGAGGTCATAGAGGGCAATGCGGATTTCATGAAGAATGCATATGGAGACCATAGTTCCTATGGGCCACACTTTTGTCTGAACTTGGGGCTGGTATCTTCCCTCTTGAATTTGCTTGAAATGATCCATAAATCTCTCCTTTGGTAACTCATCCTCCCATCCCCCACAATGTGTCATGTCTGAAGTGGACACCAGGGGGCACACTTATCCTAACAACTGTGGAAGAGACCAGAAAAGAGTAGGAATTGGAACAGAACATGAATGGGAAGGATTAGGGACACTAAAGTAGTCCAGGATGCGGGGGCGGGGGCAGGGGGGGCGGAGTAGGAGTGGACAAGGTGAGAGGCATGGAATTCTTATCATTTTAGGAACCTTGAGATGAGTTTGCAATAAATATGGACAAGAGAGAATGGAGAATCACATTTCTTGAGTTCTTAAAATATCTCAGGAATCTGTGCTGGGTGCATTTCTACTATATCTAATATATATGATTTCTGCATGATGACTATGCATAGTTTCATCTTATAGCCAACAATTCCAGGTCAGAAGTTCACTAGCTGGGATATTTGTTGTGCATCCACTGTATGCCAAGTACTCTTCAAAGCACTTGGGATGCACTGAGTGAACAAGACCACCATTGCTCTCTAAAATGTCGGTGTCATGAGGAGTGGGGGAGGGGATCACAAAAACAGATAAACAAATAAATGAATGAGACAATTCAGATAGTGTGATTGCTATCAAGAGAATAATAGCTCACTCATGGGACTGGCCAGCTGATACTGGCTGCTGGAAGGAGCTTCAATCACCATGTGGAGGTCTCCATCATACTGCTTAAAGGTCCTTGTGACATGGCAGCTGGCCTTCCCCAGAGTGGGTGATCAACAGGAGAACACACAGAAGCTGCTGTGTCAGGGGATTTGGCCTAAGCTGTCAGTAGGACATCCCCCAAGGGCTCCTGGACTGCGAGAGGGCACAGGCCAGGCTGAGGGACACCCCCCCCGCCAGTGCATAAATTTCGTGCACCAGGCCTCTAGTATTATCATAACACAAGGTTGTTGGGTAGGGATTCAAACTGGGTAGAAGAAAAGGTAAGGGAAATAGCTCTCAGGATTCTAGCCCTAGCTATCAATACTTGGGCAAGTTTCTTATCTGTAACATAGGACTCATACTGGTACCTACTTAGTAGGTCTGTTTTTAGGATGAAATGGATTGATGGTTGCAAAATTCTTAGAATGATACCTAGCACATAGTATGTGCCATGTGAGTATTTTTAATTAATAAGCCAGTCAACAAATCAATCAATAATATGACAGCCCTCCATATTTTTATTCCTGTCTGAGTAATCTTCTAATCTGAGTTACACTGAGTAACTACTTTGATTGTTGGTCCACATCAATTTTTATCCAACAGAAAGAGGTTGTCAAGATCGCTGTGTGGCAACAGATATCCTTGTCAATATCTGTCATGAACGTTAGAATGATTTGTTGGCCTGTTTGCCTCCCATCTCCACTGAAAGCCTTCAGAGAAGCTCTGTCTTTTTCTTCTCATGTTCCTTGAGCCTTGCCCAACATCCAGCTCACAAATAAGTGAAGACACACCCATGTGACATTAAAATGCTATTTTTGATGATGATATAATGGCTTCCAGAATTACCAAGAAGACTCCTGGGATGTATTTCCATGGGTGGGACTATTACACTATGTCTGGGTGGGCCCTCTTCCCACTGGGGGAGTGCTATTTTTAGCCTTGGGCGTGCAGATTTTCCAAGGATGGTTGAGAAGACTATGGCGGTGACCCTTTAGAATTGGGGGAGGGGTGTGCATGATGAGGAAAATCATGTACCCTTTTCTGGCTTTGTTCTTTACACTGTCCTGCCTGATTTCAGTTTGTTCACATTGCCTTCTTTCAGGTAGGTAAGTAGTGGGGTGGCGGGGGGGGGGAGAGGGGGATGAGAGAGAAAGAGAGAGAGAGGCACAGTGGGAGGGAATAAATTTTTTTGAATGTGCCATCCACAGTAATGAAAAAGCACATGGCTTTTTATTACATCAGAAAGCCTGTTAAGGGGCTGAGAGCCTTGGGAATCTATCAATGTAACTAAAGCAGGTCAAGATTTAGTTATTCTGCAGCAAAAGCACATTTTTAGTTAATATCATTTACTAAATGAAAGAAACTACCACAGAGTATTGGAATGATCTTATGAGACATTCATGTAATTTTTAATCAGGTTGGCTGTTTCCTAATTCACTAACAAAAAGGATTATAAGAACATGACCATGCTATATCTACTTTTCTTTTTTGTTCTAAATAAAATTGAATGTCTTTTATAATAAAGTTGAAAGAATAAATTGGTGATTCTCATTTCTCCCCTCCCAAAATAACCTAATTCTCTGAAGTGACCTTGACATAAACCATTCTATAAATGGGGTTTTTGAATTGATTTTTAGAGAGAGAGAGGAAGAGAGAGAGAGAGAGATTTGTTGTTCTACTTATGTATGTATTCATTAGTTGATTTTTGTATGTGCCGTGACTGGGGGTTGAACCTACAATCCTGGCATATAGGGACAACACTAACCAACAGAGCTACCTGCCCAGGGCATGTAAATGGAATTTAGCAGCATCAAAGGTATATCTAATAGGGCATGTGCAGGGTAGTGATGTTTTTGCATAAGAACCCTGGTGCCCCCAGTAGTCACAGGGGGAAATTTGCCAATTTTCAATATCTGATTTCCCTCAGCAGGCAGCCTTCCTTTCTGCTGGATGGTGTTGAGACCTGCAGATTAGAATGCTAAGTCTTTCCCTGACATCTAGTGTCAACCTGTGAAATAACAGACTGGGAACCAGACACTCATTAAGATGAGGATGTTAATCTCATTTGTTAACTGGATTGACAAGCAGCACTTTTTAAGGGGTGGCTCTTGTCTCAGCCCTGAAGAGTTCATCCAAAAGTCTCTGTGAACTTCAACCCCTCATGAGTAGCCACAAGACAGAAGGAGCAAAGAGGCACCTGGAAAATGGAAATACGTTATTGTTCTTAGTGTAAAATAGGTCTTATTGGTGTAAGACAGATATAGCATTCTTTGGGCTTATCTACCTTCTTATTGAAAACTAGCAGAAATCATTATATATATATCCCTAATATGTAATAGACCAAATGGCAGAACAACTGAACAATTGAACAACCAGACAACTGGTCACTATGACGTGTACTGACCACCAGGGGGCATGCGCAGAACATGGCGGGCATCCACAGCAGGAGGCAGAGTGCAAAACAAGGCAGGCATCAGCCACAGCAGGATGGTGGAGCAAGTGAGTGGGGGCGCCAGACCAAGGCAGGGTGCTGGTCGCAGTTATCGGGGCAAGCCTCTGATGGTTACTGAAAATGCTTTGCTCCCGTGAGCTGCGGTCCCGCTGGGCACTCACACCTGCTGCCAGCACCAGCCCGCTTGCACCCATTGCCGGCTCCAGAACCACTGCTCTCACCTGCTGCTGGTGCCCAGTGCCAGCCTCGATTGCTTGGCGCCATCAGCAGGTGCAAGTGGCGGCTGCGAGCCCTAATCCCCCCTCAGGGCTTCTCCATCTCCCCCTGCTCCTGAGGGGCAATTGGGGCCAGCAGCCGCCTCTCACACCCACTGCCGGTCCTGGCCCTACTCGCGCTTGCAGCTGGTGCCAGAGCCGCCACTCGCACCTGCTGCTGGCGCCTAGTGCTGACCAGATCGCTCAGCACTGTCAGCAAGCGCGAACAGCAGCTGGCCTCACACCCACTGCCGGTCCTGGCCCTACTCGCACTTGCAGCTGGTGCCAGAGCCGCCACTCACACCTGCTTCTGGCGCCTAGTGCTGACCCGATCGCTCAGCACTGTCAGCAAGCGCAAACAGCAGCTGGCGGGCCCAATCGCCCCTGAGGGCTTCTCCACCTCCCCTGCTCCTGAGGGGCAATTGGGGCAGCAGCTGCAGCTCACACATGCTGATGGCGCTGGCCCTGCTCACACCCGGTGCTGCCAACAGCCCCAATTGCTCCGCGTTGTCAGCATGTGCGAGCAGGACCGGTGCTGTCAGCATGTGGGAGCAATTGTGGCAGGAGTGGGGCTGCCGGCAGAAAAGGGACCAGGGGCCATAATGGGAGGGGCCAGGCAGGGGCACAGAGGATGGGCTGAGACCTGCCTCTGTGCCCACAGCAGCCTCGTGGCCCACAGTTCCTTTCAGGCGCATGAATTTGTGCACTGGGCCCCTAGTATCCTTATAAACTCTCTTCTTATTCTCAGTCCTTTTATTCCAGAACCTCTCCAACTGACACTCTGCCTTGCACATGAATTTTTTACTCCTATTTTTTCTGGTATATGGAATTTACACATAGTGTACAATAGGAAGGAAGGAAGGAAGGAAGGAAGGGGAAGGGGAAGGGAACATTCTTTCTACAATCTTGACTCTGGATATCCCATTTGAGCTTGTCCCAGAGGTACCCAACAGCTACTCCAAGTAAGCAGTAATAAAGCACCATATGTATGGTGGGCTACAAGAAGTCTCCCCAATGAGATCTCATACATTTCTTCTATCAACCTAATTAGCAACTATAAAATAGCAAATGTCTTAATAGCAGCCTTATTAGCACAAATTTCAAGAAGCTACTCTATTCTTTTACAAAAAGGCAAGGAAATCCTGGCTAGTGTGGCTCAATTAATTGAGTATCCTCTGGTATACTGAAAGGTTTCAGGTTCCATTTCCGGTTAGGGCACATGCCTAGATTATGGGTTGGATTCCAGTCATGGCATGTATGAAGGCCACAAATAGATGTTCTCTCTCACATTGATGTTTCTCTTTCTCTTTCTCTCTCTCTCTCTCCCTCTCCCTCTCCCTCTCACTCCCTCCCTCCCTCCCTCTCTCTATAACCAATAAGCATACCCTTGGGTGAGGATTTTTTTAAGGCAAGGGTGGGGAGAATATCAATAAGGAAAAGACAGAAAAATCAATAAACACTAAAGGTCAGCTGTTGACCTGCCCCCAGAACAGCAAAAATATCTTTGATATGGTGAACCTTCAGAGTAGCATATGTAAATATCTGACTTGGAGGAACATGGTAAATTTATCTAAAAAATGATGAAAACTGTTACTTGACCTCATTGCTTTCTCTCTCTCTTTAAAAATCTGTCTTATTTTTGTATTTCCAATTCAGTGATTCCAGTCTGTGTGCTTTTGAGCCAAACTGCATTAAGAAAGAAGCTGACCTTGAACTTAGCATTAGGAAATTCTTAAGGTTCTTTTAAAGCACAATTAGTTCTCTTTATTTTATTTTAATCCATTTTGTGATCCAAAGACTTTCCTTCAACAAAACAAACTACTATGACTCATCATTAGAAAAACTAGAGAAATTAGATGGTAGAGAAGAAAATTTAGACATCAACAAATTGGATTATCTGCCACCTTTTTAATTGTCCTGATATAAATCCCCATACAATGAGCGTATACATGGCAGACAGAAACTTAGATCCACAGGGAGGGAGGAAGTTTATAAAAAATGAAAGCTCCAAAAGTGTGATTTGAAAAGTAACATCTGTCTATCTGGTCCAACCCTTCTCATAATTTACTACAGAGTAACAGCAAGTATTGATTTCTGCCCTTCAGCTTCCTGATCTGCCATTCATCATAGCTTACCTCCCAGAGACTCATGTCAGAAAACCACTGTTCATCATGTTTTTTCATAACAACATATAATGAGCTACAGGAAAAGAGGGAGAGAGAGAGAGAGAGAGAGTTAGTTTTCAATTAGCTTCATTAGAGTGTCACAATGCCTTCCTCAGCCAATCTGCATTCAAGGTCAACCTAAAGTCAATTTTCTTCTCCTGGACTATTATATTTTAAAGAGAATATCCTGAAAGAAATGCTTCCTTTATAACTAGCTCCATCCATATATTTCTTTTTGTTCAAGCATTATGAGACGTTTTTGTCAGCATTATGAGACTTTCTAAGATGCCTGTGAAGAGCTTGTTTGAGAGGACACCTAAACTTTATGTGATAAAATAAGCAAAACAACTTCCAAGTCCTTCACTGAAAGCGTTCCAGAGATGTCCAGTTCACTCAAAGGACCAAGACCCATTATCATCTATAAATTAAGTTCCTTCATCATGAAACTCATTTAACCAAATGATTTAGTAGAATTGTAGTTCTGCAAAGAGCTTTGAGAAATCATATGGTAAAAACTCAAGCCCTCAGAAAATTAAATGTCTAAACCTAGAGTAGCAAATGGGTTTCTTCTTAAGTAAAATTTTCAAAGGATTGGCAGAGGCCGCCTGGAATTCCAAATAGAGGATTTTGAGAGTTGGCCCCAACTCTGCAGAGGGTGTTGTCATTAATTAGTAATGTCTGCCAAGAGTACAGGGAAAGGATAAAAGGCTGACTATGGCCTAAATTACCTAAGATAGAGCACTTTTCTTAGGTTTGCTTACCATCTTCCTCCATCATACATTCTAGTGTTATATCTTTCTGTTAACCATCCATCACCTTATAAAACCTTTCCAGAACTGTGTCCCACCTTAGTCATCCCTTCTGGAGACATCAAAAAAACTTTTCATCTTTCACTCTGGGACCTATTTTCCATTGCTTTAATCATCTTCATTGCTTGTTTCTTCCATCACTGCAATTTATTCACTTCCCTTTGAACAGTGGTGACCAACATTGAATACAGTCCTCTAATTTAGACTACCAATTTAGAATATAGACAGATTATTGTCCCTCATCTTCAAATTTCTTCATACATCCTAGTATCACATGAGCTTTTTCATAATATCATGTGACTAATGCCTACGCCAGGCCATCGCTAACTGTGTCCAGACATTATTTTAGAACTTTCTCATTGGTGTGATTGATGTTCAGAGGTTTAGCATCATAACAGTTTGCCCAAAAGAAGTCACCATTTTGAGGGTAAAAAAGTTTGGGCAAAAGTAAAAGATGTCTTTTAAAAAGAAAAAAGATAACCATTTTTAAAACAAAAGCAGATGTTAAAAATGTTCAAAATACAGTATTTTTGAAAAGTGAATTCAAAAATATCAGATGTTTTAATGAGAAGTTTTATGGGATACCAAATTAAAACTTTAGGTGACACAGATCCATGTCCTGTTCTCTTGTCACCCCTCCATGTCCATGCCACCCCAATAGACTTGTTCCCAGAGGACTACAGGATCTGGGTTGGAGCTAACATAAAGAGAAATTATGATGCTAATTTGAGGAAGCTGGGCAATAAAACAATTTAAAAGTAAAATTTTAAACAAGACGACAGCTGAATTAATACAGATATGGGAAGGGTCAGTCCCAAGTGAGTTGACTCAGAGTTGATGGATGTGCCAGAAAAGCTTAACTACATAGAGTTTAAACATGGAAAATACGCAGCCTCTTCGGGATTTATATTTTGGGTGCTTCAGGGATTTCCAGGACCACTCTGGAATGGAGCCCTTCAAGATTATCCTAGAACCTCTTTAGACCTGAAAGCATGGACTACCTAAATATCCAGCTGGCTCCTCATACTTTGCATGTCCAGATCTAAGTTTGACATCTTCCTCCTAAAGTTAATTACTCCTACAGCTTTCTTGTTTCATTAACAGCATGGCCAGTTTCCTAGGGTCCAGGCTTGTAACATCAGAATAATTTTTGTTGTCTTCTCCTTAAATTCTTGCTGATTCATATGGCATCTAAGCCATATTTTTGGTATTAATCTCTTCCATTCCCATCCCATCCACTTTTTCCAGTTACTTCAAGTATACTTTCTTTCTTGACTACTGTAACATCTTCCCAACCCTCTCCCCACTTTCTTTCTTTTCCCCTAGAACCCATTCTATAATCATTTAATGACTATGATCTCACCAAATCAGTTTAAAATTCCAATCTTTGAGAGTCGGGACCTTCTGCAACAGAGACCCCAATCTACCTTCCCAAATAGGTCACTTGCTCCAGCTAGCATTTCCATCTCTATGCTTTTCTTGGCTCATCCTTCTGAACCAGCTTTCTTCTTCCTCCCACAGATGCAACTTTCAAAATTTTACCCACCCTTTGAGTTCATCTCAAATGCTCCTTAAACACACGTACCCATGGAGGGCAGTTGGATTAGGGCTGGAGCAGATTGCTGTAAGGCAGAGAGCACTCCAGAAATCCATGGAATGGCTCCCGGGGAAATTATGAATGTCCTAAGTTTTATGAAGAAGAAAAAAGTACATTTTTGCAGAGATGACTTTTACCAAATTTAAGGAACCTAAAAAGATTTCAAGTTACCTAGAGATAACTTCCCTCCTGGCTTTCTCAACATCAACCATGATGTACCTGCATTGGAGCCACTTGTCTAATTTCCCTCTAAACCATAGGGGATGGCCTCTGTCACCCCCTTGATATCACCCACCACCTTCCCTGGCACTCCTCACAATTATATTGAATATCTGCTAATTGCCATGCATAGTGCTCAATGCTGAGGGTAAGGAAATGAAAGGTGAGCTCCCTGCCTTCATGGAGCAAGTACAGACTAGTGAGCAAGGCATACAGTTAAACCCACAATTAAAATAGTTTGTGAAAAATATTCTACTGGAATAAGCATTGACAAAGACTATCCCAGTCGGGCCTGGGGTGGTCAGGCCATCTCTTTCAGAGATGAGGAATCGGCTGAATCTGGAGGTAGCCAGATACCAGAGGAAAGAAGGATCTTCATGAGAAAGGAGTAGTTTGTGGGAAATACTCCCTACAGCATGGGTGTGAGTGGTATGTTTTAGCTCAAAGATGGAATGGACATGATATGGAAAGATTGCCATGAGTTTAGGACTCTGGATTTTATCATGAACAGCATGAAGGAACCAGTGAAGAATTAAAAGCAGAGGAAGTACATGATACTATTTAAATTTTAGGGCAGTCATTTTTGCAATAGGGTGAAAAATGCATTATAGCAGTGAATTCTTAAGAGACTATTCAGATCCTTTAAATAAATCCTATTAGAGGGCTAAATTAATATCATAGTAAGGGAGATGGGGGAAAATGAATCTAGAAATATTTAGAAATTAGAATCAACAAGATACAAGTACTAATTAGATGTAAAGAATGAGGTACAAAGAGGAATCATGAATAACACTTGCATTTCTGGCCTGTGCATCTTAATAATAGGTGGTTATTTCCTGAGACCAGGGATGCAAAAAATAGGGGAAGGAAACTCATGGGTTGAATTCGTAGTTCTTATAAGACTAGTTCCAGAAATTTGAGGAGGCAGCCATTTGCAGGATGGAGAGGGGTGAGAACTGGTCTTGGATGGGTGGGCTGGGGTCTCCACACGTATGCACTCAAGGTCCTCAGGGATGAAGCCATAAGGTTATATGCATTGGCATCCTATGCTGGAGTTTTGGTCCTCTTAGCCCTGAATTGGGTCCCTGGCAGTAACAGAAGAATCCATCAACACCCATCCTGACATCAGCATCAACGACAGGTAGGAGGGACTATGAATGAAAGTATGGAAGCGAATGGAATGTTTCTCACCTGCAGTTATACAGATGGAAGACATTGAGAGCCTGGGACAAAGGAGTGGCCTTTGGGGCAGGGAGATTTGAGCAGGTAAGAGATAAGCAAGGTATATCTCTTCTATCCTCCTATCTCCAATCTTCAAACTTCTATTTCCTCCCTGAGGTGGCAGTTCTCCCCATCTCCTCTGTGCTCCCTCAGAGTCCCTCCCATTTTCTCCAGGTAGGAGACTTACCCCCAAACTAGACTAAAAGACAGGAAACATTTCTGCTTGGTCTTTTCCCCCAGCCTCTAGGTACAGCATCTAGCACCCAGCAATGTACTGGTACATGTTTTAGTAGTCACCCTTGGCCCCATGAGTAGGCCCCACCTGTCTCCTTACAGAAGTAAGGCCAGGTGGGACTCCAAACACTCCTCTCCTTGGGGTTCACGTAATCAGCGTGGAGCCTTCCTTACTTCCTGTGTGCTCAGAAGCTGCCTGCCCTTCTGAACTGCAAACACATCTTTAAAAATGAATCACTCCTCCTCAAAATCTACTTCAAAATTTCCAGTGAGTTCTCTTCTTCTTATCTTACCGCCCACCACCCAACCCCATTCCCCTCTGTTCCCTGAAATAAACCCTTCTTTTAAACTCATTTACACATTTTTTACTGGAGCATTTTATCTAAATTTTGGTATATTCTGCCTATTTCTTACTCAACATAAAAGTCAGCTTCTCTTTTTGTTTAAGTGTGGAGTCCTGCACAATATCTTCTTGGTGATAGGCCTTCTTTCAAGGCCTTTCTGAAACATTTTTGTCTGTGCCTGAAAGTCAGTGGAGTTTTGCACAGGGACTGTAATGGCTGAGTCCAAAACACAGTGGTATAGCTGTCTATTAACCATTTAATACCTCAAGTTTATCACTTTGATGAATAAATAAGTTGTCATTTGCCTAAAGGCCGTATTCTTGAGTGGTAATGGAGAGCTCCATAGATCATCTTCCTGATACTCATAATTTAGACCAATTTCTTCTAAGAGTATTTAATTGCCCTACCGGTTTGGCTCAGTGGAAAGAACATTGGCCTGTGGATTTAAGGGTCCTGGGTTAGATTCTGGTCAAGGACATATACCTCAGTTGCAGGCTCGATCCCTGGCTCTGGTTGGGGCGCATGTGGGAAGCAACCAATTGATGTATCTCTCTCCATCAATGTTTCTCTCTGTCTCTCCCTCCCCTTTCCACTCTCTCTAAAAATCAATGGGGAAAAAAATATCCTCAGGTGAGGATTAACAAACTAAGCATTTAATTAATACTCAATTTAATACTTCAATATTCAATTCTATTTGATTCTTCCTAAGACATTTAATTCAACAAATAGTTATTAAGCTCCTATGGAAAAAACTGGCAATTTTTCGTCTCTTCACAGGATATCTAAGATCATCTTGAAAGTTGACCCCCATATTACAATGTCACCACTGAAGAGAGCTAAGTGTCAGCTGTAAACACTGTCTGGGCTTCTTTTAAGTCATCTCTGAAAATGTTTATTAGTAAGCCAGTGTCTTATCCTTGATAAGGATGTTCCCCCCTGTGATGGTTAATATGATGTGTCAACTTAGCTGGGCCATGGTGCCCAAATACATGGTCAAATGTTCTTCTGGATGTTTCTATGAGGGGGTTTTGGACAATATTAACATTTAAATCATTGGAACTTTGAGTAAAACAGGTCTCTCCTTTCTCCCCGCCCCACCACTGTGTTGGGTGTCATTGAATCAGTTGAAAACATGAATAGGACAAAAGACTGGCCTCCCCTAAACAAGGGAGTATTCTGCCAGAAGATAGCCTTTGGACAGCACAGACTTTTCTTTGGATCTCTAGCCTGCCAGTCCCCCTCCCCACTGCAGATTTGGATTTGCCTGCCTCCATAATCATGTGAGTGAATTTCTTAAAATAAATCTTTTCACACACACACACACACACACACACACACACACACACACACACACACACATTTTATTGGTTCTGTTTCTCTGGAGAATCCCAATTAATACACCCCCATTCACCATGAGGTGGATGATTCCATCTTGGCAGAAAGGTAATTTGGGTAGAACTAGGTAATTGGAGATTATACGTAAAGACCTATAAGTATAAGGGAAGAAGGGATTCTCTGGAGGTCTGATCCATGACTGGGCATATGATGTGGGAGAAAGAATTCCTGGGAGAGCCAAGCAAGAGGAGTAGCCTTTTATAATGGTATCCTGGGAGCAACCTAAGAAATCATATATGTCTCTGAGAGGGTATCAATAATCAATGCAATTTAAGTAATTAAATTTAAAATATGCTGAAATTTGATTATCAGGGTCCTTTGTGTATTTGTTGTGTATTACTCTGTGAAGTCATTTCATCCAAGACCATAGGGCAGTGATGGCGAACCTATGACACGCGTGTCAGAGGTGGCACGCGGACTCATTTTTTTGGTTGATTTTTCTTTGTTAAATGGCATTTAAATATATAAAATAAATATCAAAAATATGAGTCTTTGTTTTACTATGGTTGCAAATATCAAAAAATTTCTATATGTGACATGGCACCAGAGTTAAGTTAGGGTTTTTCAAAATGCTGACACGCCGAGCTCAAAAGGTTCGCCATCACTGCCATAGGGGACTGGAAGATTGCCGACTCCACGTTAAAATCATTTTTCTCATACTGGTGTTGACATGGTGCTGGGACCCATAGTATATACCATACATTGTAGCACTGATTCCAATCCCTATGGCTCATAGAAAGCAATAAAACTTTTCTTCTCTCAAAGTGTCCACACAAATATGTACCATTTTATGCAATGAATGGGCTCCTGCAAATTTATGTGTTGCATACCTTTGTGCATTGCTTTATATATTGAAGACACATTAGAGGAGTTTGCTATTTCAAGAAACTTTGCAAGTATCTCATTTCTTAATGTAATAAGCCATTCTGATTCAAGATCACAACCTCTATCTAATGTATTAGCATAAGAAGTTCCATTCTGTGCTTAAGAGGTTTAATTAAAGTAAGATAAAACTAAACTTAATAACATTCAATTGCCTGAAAGTTATTGTAGAAATGTCTAATGTATTAGCAGAAAGTAGCATAATGTCTCAAATAAATGCCAAGTGTTCCATATCAAACTGATTGACAACCTAATTAGGAATAAATGTCACTGTTATCCATATTTTCCTACATTTTTTTCAAAAGAAAACATTCACACGGTGAAGGGAATCAGAATCTATTTTTATATCCCTAGAGTTATAAACATTTGTATCAAAATATTTACAATTATAGTATATGAAATATCAATCTATTAAAGAAGAAGCCAAATACAGTACTAGAACAACCCACCAATGTAATGCAGTTACATGAGACATAAATGGCACAGAAACAAAGTAAAAGACATGGGACTACATGGTTCACTCCAGTCATAGTCTGACTTTTTAACATAATGTGATTATCTCTTTTGAATATATCTGATATGTAAATAGGCTTCTGCACGTAAGACAACCTTCTATAATCATATGATAATTAAATGATAGTAAAAAGTTTATTATCCCATAGTTTTTGCTTGCCAGCCTCTCTACCTTCAACCCAGATAATTCAGTGGTCTGTCCTCAACATTCCCTTAACCAGAATGAACATAGAGAAATATACTTAGTAAGAGTCCTTTTACATAAATACTAGCAATCATAACAACTCCCCAAAAAGGAAAAGTATATAAGGAATGACATGAGGAGAGAGCTAGGAGAAGAAAAGTAGGCAAGATGTCTCAGATTCTCCCTAAGGTAGATCTTCTCATGGTGATCAAGGAAATGTCTTCCTAAAATAAACCCTTTAGGCAGAATCTGAGATGGCTTAAAATAGCTGCTCCAGGCTACAGCAGTGCCTGCTTAACCAGGAATAACATACTACTTCTAAGTCCTATATAGAAAAGCTCTGTGGCAACAGGCAGATCAATTACCATCTGACCTGGCACCACCAGAGATTTGTGTGTGTGTGTTGTCCTTAAAGAAAATATCTGCCCATCACCTATAATTTTACTTCTCTCACAGAAATTTTCTTATTTTCCTGGGAGCACAGGCACTCCATTCTTATCATGACTTAAATCTAATATGCTTAACACTTTCCAATGACATAGCACCTTTCACCCAAGGACCTATTGTTTGGTTTTGGTTTGTGTGTGTTTCAATAAGCTTCCAGAATTGTCTTGCCTCACCTATGAAGCAGGATAGGCAGGCTTTCTGAAAGCTGACCACTCCAGCCAGTGTGAAAGCCAGAGTTGCCTCTGGTCCCCAATATGGATAATTAGATAAAACATCCTGAAAAGTTTATAATTTCGAGGGAGAGTAACAGAGTGCATTACAAGGAGCTATGTCTGTTTCTCTCATTCTATATTTAAAAGAATCCTTGCTTGCAGGGAGAGGGAATCCTAAAATCATAACCCTAATATAGCATTGTTGCAAGACTGCCCCGTGAGCCCATAATTAGTGTGGTGCTTTCACCACAGAATTGGTCATTTGTGGCATTACAGAAACTCCAGAAGAGCCGCCCTAGCTCTAAGCAAGAGGCCTAGCAAAGTCCGTAGCAAGAAGTATCCAGGAGGGACAGCTGTCTGAGTACTGTGAAAAGTTCTCTTTCTTGATTTAACTAACCCACCAATTTGGCTTCATGACTATGTCCCTTCCAACCATTTTGTCGCAAATACCACTGAATTGCACAGAGCTAACTATTTGCTTTCAAGAGGGATAATGGCGTGCTAGCCGAAGCCCTCCTGGGGACCCTTCAGACTGGAATGTGATGTTTTGCTTTGGGTCAGGAGGGCAGGAGGGCTTCCAGGCTTAGCATACTCAGTACAAAAACAAGATCTGCCCTTGTTGGAACTTGTACCGCTATTTTAACTTGGTGCAGTAGGTCTGAGGACCACAGTGCAAGACCCAGAATTCACCCTCAGAAGCAGAGCCAGTGGTGTGGCAGCCGGTGGGCCCCCTGCAGTGTGTGTAACTGAGAACTGGTGGCTGGAGAGAGGCTCTCTGGCCCACATCTCGGGAGCATGGAAGTTCTAGCCAACTACTTTCTCCCAAGGGCAGGAGCTTGACAGTAGGAAACCTCCTGAGTAACAGTTTGGGTTTCAGCCTCTCCCACCCTCATGTCCTCCCCCCCTCCCCCCTCCCCTGGCTTGGCTTTTCCTGCAGAGCAACTCTCACTTCCCTCCCAGATTCCATGGCTCCCTCCTCCCCACCCCCCAGATCCCCATACACTTGTTCAGACTTATTTCTTTCTCAGGACCAGGTAGAGAATGCCAATGATGAAGCTAAAGCAGAAGCAGATCCAGGTCAGGATGAAGCAATAGCCGTGGTGGCTTTGGGCGTATATATTTCCATAACCGCTCCCATAATGATGAGTGTAGATGGAGGCCCCAACCATAATGCAAAGCCCTGAAATGGAAAAAAAGAAAGTTTATGTATTTTGTTTGTTTGGAGGGGGGAGAGGAGTTATTTTGGTTTCTTTCTTTCTTCTTTTTACATTAAAATCAAGAACAAGTTTTGTAATTTTTAAAAGATCCTATTTTCTTCATCTGCAATGGGAAAATGAAATCTGGCTGTTTGGTCCCAAACAGTAGTTCTGTTGATCTGCCCTGATCTGAGCTTGGTGGTCCTGTTGATAAACTAGAGTTGCTTGGGCTCTCACGCCTGCACTGGGTTGTGGCTGCAAGTGTGAAGTGAAACAGAGAACCTTATGCCCACAGCCCAGCCCATGTAGGCAGACTGCCCCGGGATGCAAGCATGCCACCAAATTGGGTGTGTGTGGGAAGAATGAAGGAAAAGGAGAGTGGCAATAATTGAGAGCAGCGTGGCAGTGGTTTTATCTTTCAAGGACTCCCACCTGTCGGCCATCTTCAAGCGTTTTGTACACAAGTGCTGCTGGTGGGCGGCCCGCCACTTGGGGGCTGCCTCGGAGCACTAGACTTAAACAATGAAGCAGACAAGGGTTCTTATTCCAAGCAGCTAGCAGGGGTTTTCAGAAAGAGAACAAATAGCCAGACCCATGTGCTCATCTGTTCAAGTAGCCGGGAGCACCCATGGTAAGATCTACTCAAAAGCTTTGCCTGGGTAAACTGGAGTCTGAGCCTGATACTCACAGCACACCAGCATGGTGGCCCCTGAGAGGAAGAAACGGTTTCCCTTCTCCATGGTGAAGAGCTGGAACACGAAGACCACGAGGGAGATGACGGAGAAGATGATGGAAAGGATCATGAAGGCCTGCACTGCCTTGAGCGCATCTGTGGACACAGGGGCAGGAGAGCACAGGTGTCAGGCCAACCGATCCCTGACAGGCGGGACATTTCCCCCATCACATGAATTGTCAGCACTGAATACAATAGCTTTATAGATACCTTCATCGGCATATGGCAGGGGTCCCTCGCAGTTACCGTTGCTGCAGTTTTTCCAAAGGCCTATTGATTCTCTTGAAACATCTGAAACCACCCAGACCTGAAATCAGGAGGAAACAAAACATTGTTTTAAAACTGACCCTCTGCTTTAAAAGAAAAAGAAATATCAAATCAGCTTGTGCCGGGAACAAATCTTAAGCAAGACACCATATTTAGCCATACATGTGGCTGTGCAACCCATTTCTTAGTGGAAATGAGATTTAATGCAGGTTGTGTTGCCTGGCTAGTGTAGCGTGGTGGTTGAGCATCAAGCTATGAACCAGGGTTGTGGGCTCGATCCCCAATAGGGGAGTGCAGGAGGCAGCCAACCAATGATTCTCTCTCAGCATTGATGTTTCTACCTCTCTCTCCCTCTCTCTTCCTCTCCGAAGTCAATGAATATATATATATTAAAAATTGTGTCATGTAAGGGCCTGGCTAAAAATGGGGGGGGGGGGAATACGGAAAAATGTTCAACTGGAGACAACTAAGAAACATAGGATAACAAAGAAAATAGCAATGAGTCCTGGTGGTTAATAAGCCACTTTCATCTAAACAGAAGGATCCATCTTTGATTGTCACAACATGCAACGTAATTTCATAGCAAAATAGTACATCAAGAGCTTTACTGTGGGGCAGCTGAAAGTGGCCAGAATATATTCCCTATGGCTCATCATGGTACCAGCTCCCTTCTTACTGTGCCCAACAAACCCAGTTATCCTTCAGGAATGGAAAACAAACCCCCAACTCTGTCCACATGGAGTGTGTCTGCTAAAATGCACGTTACTGAAAAGGCAAGGTCAAGGGAGTGCAGTTGCCTGCTCCTGTTCAGTATTCAGCACTTTGGCATCCACAAATACACTTTGAAGTTATTCATCAGACCTGTTATCCTGAGAAACTCAGGGATTGGCATACAGATGGCTGAGTTAGAGTCTGGGGGAGGCTGCATGGGCAAGGGTTCTTTCTTATCACAGTCATGCTTACATTAGCCTTGCTTATAATCCCCCCCCTAACCCCACCCCAATGTTGGCAAAACTCTTCTATCTGAACTTTAAAGCCCATTTATCCTTTAACTGTGACAGGGATCTGTGCAGATTCTGGATCCATCATTTGCCTATCTAGAGATGGGTGTTTTTGGTTTTTGTGTCCAATAAGCTGTCTTGTTTTTCCTGAGAAAAGCACAAGAAAAGCAAATTGGGTGCTACAAACTAGCACTAGAGGGCAGAATAGCTCAAGGTTCTGAGAGAAGGGACATGCTCCCTCCATAATATTTTATGATGTTTCCTTTGAGTGAGTGATAATCTTGCAAAATTCCACTTTCACAGGCTACTCCTCTCTGCCCACAACTTGAATCCATCAGTCTGGCAACCAAAGCTTCTCATCATCTCACTCCCATCCCTCCTAATCGAGGTTCCCAGAAGGAAGGGAAGTTCTGCCCCTGACACCTACGTGTCCTCATTATACCCTGAAGGAAGTTGGTCCCTCCCTCCTGGGCACTCCTGCCTGGAATGTATCCCTATGCTCCTCCCACTATTCCTTCTTATGCCAAGAGAAAGCCCAGCCATAGCACTCCTGCGAGCTCCACCTCAGCTGGGAAGACTCCTGTAGAGACTGAAGAAGCCTCATTGAGTTCTCCAGCCTCTAGTCTCCTGCAGACACTGATGACTTATCCTCCTG